TTTATGAAGGAGCATCTTGAACCGTGGATGAAAAGGCAAAGAGTGGCCTTCAGAAAGGCCATTGTTTTTATGCAAGATAACGCTCCCTCACATGCTGCTCACAGGACTAGTGAATATTTGAAACAGTTAGGTTTCGATGGACCTCGAAAAATGAAGTGGCCAGCAAATTCTCCGGATTTGAATCCAGTCGAAAACCTTTGGAGCAATCATGAAATGAAGACTGTACGCCAACAGACGACAATTCAGGAACAACGCTGAGTTGTGGAAAGCAATTCTTGACATATCTCGTGGCATTACAGCAGATGACATCCTACAATTAACAAATTCTATGGATCGTCGACTTCTTCAAGTAATTTCAAAACAGGGAAAGCACATTCCCTATTAATTTGTTTAAAACTTTGCCTTTGTTTGTATCTGTTATTATTTGTTTGATTATCTTATTTATTAGCATCTTTTGATCTTAAACATTCACGTGCAACATTAATAAATGTTTTGTGGGAATTTTACAACAGCTTTCTAATAATTTGGCACGCTCAAATCACCGTGTTGATAACAAATATGGCGCCAGTTTGTTTACATTGCAGTGATTTCGCAGGTCAGTGTTGCCAACATTGTGTGAAAATTTTGTGTGAATTGATTGGGCACTTTTTGAAATATTGGAATAAAAGTTATCTCGATAATAATTTGGCACGCAGTGTATATGCGTGCATATTTAGGTAACACTTTGAAACATATTTCCTTGAATAATATAAACACACCGTGTCTACTTATTTTCATACTGGCGTAATTTATCTAACGCCTTTGCGTAATCTATAAAACACAGGTAAACGTTCTTCTGCATTTGTCTTGCTGTTTTTAATCTTATGTTCTTTGTTTCTCTTTCTGTGACGAACCTGCACTGTTATGATCCTATCCACGGTCTGATTGCCTTGCGCGCTCTATTCCGCAAATTTCAGGTGATGAGTTTGGTTATGTAGTTCATTATGCTCATTGTTCGATGAGATTTACATTCGTTTGCGCCTGATGTTATAGGCATTGCTAGAAAATACATCTGCTTATTTCTTCAGTTGTAGATTATTTCTGTGAACTTTTCTACGCCGAACTCATCTATAACCGCAATCATCTATATTAAAATTCCGCCGGACTCTGCCGCTATGTTTCTCTTCAAATTGGCCTGTGCATAATCTATTATTTTAATATTTCCGGTCTGTCGCTATTGCTGTATATTGGTGATTGTTCTCTTTTTATATATTTTTTCCATCTCTGAAATATTTTTTTCTCTAATATCAGCGTTCCGACCTTGGATTTAATCATCATGTTGATGAGGGTGTCTTTTGTCTTGTTCGTTTTCTTATTTATTTATGCATATCTTATTTTTTTTTAGACAATCTTCTTTAGTCTGTATGAATTTTTTTTTATTATGTCTTTGTAGTTTTCAATATGGAGTTCCGTGTCTTGGCATTGTTTTCTGTCTTCCTTGAATCATGTCTAGAATCTCATTTGTCATCTATTCGTTTTCGTTCATTTCCCTTTGAGGTGATCTCGTTTGCTGATGTTACTAAAGCTTCTCTGAGTGCGTCCCATTTCGAGTCTCTAATTCCATTTTGCACGGCCTATCTTCTTTTCACACTGCTCTTATTGTTCTCCTTTAGGTTCGGGTCGTTGAAAAGTTTGTTGCGTTGCAATTTGGGTGCTGATTTAGGCTTCTACAGTTTCAATAATTTTATTCTAAGTTTACATATCACGGGAAGTTCATCGCTTCCGCTGTTGGGAATTGGATAGGTTTTACTGTGTACAGCTGCATTCCTGAATCTCTTGTTGTCAGTCACTTTTGTTTTTCCTATTTCCTACTAGACTTCTCTGTATTCATATTCGTCTTGGATGCTCTTGGGACGAGTTGTTAACAATTACCTGGTCATTCGCCGTGTAACATTTGGACACATTATTCTGCGCGTTTGTTGCGGGTTCCTAGTCCAAATGTTGCTTGTTATTTCCCCCATCCATCTGTTTGACGAATTTGGCATTTAGGTCTTTCAAGATAATTATAATGTCCAGCGATTTACACTAAGCCTTGGCGTAGTCCAGTGTAGAGTAGAAAGTTTCGATCACTTCTTCCGTACTTTCGCCTCTCAGTGCATACACAGTTATGATAGATATGTTAGAAGTATTTCCTTTCAGTCTAACGAGAGATTTATTTCAGATAACAGACAGTATCAGAGAACGCGTTTCTTTTTTTTAGTCTAGTATTAATTTTTTTTTATTTTTCTCTACGCTTGCATAGATATTACTGTTTTTGCCACTGACAAAATATCAGTTGTTGAGCCACCTAGATAAATATATTTTTAAATGCTGATATTTAACTAAGTCTAGCCATGTTTCCAAATGGCCATATTCCAACCAGCCATAGTTGTTTGATGTTCTATCAGTCCATGTCCTGAGAATTATTTTTTGTTTGATGTTGGTCAATACCATACTAAGTGGCAGTACTTTGGTGACTCTTTTGCATTTTGTTCATATATATATATATATATATATATATATATATATATATATATATATATATATATATATATATACGAATTCATCAATGCCCAGATATTCCTACACAGATTTATGGGAAGAAACTGAACTTTGACAAAATAACAAATAACATCCTGTGTATATATGAAGGCGCATTTTATTAAGAAACAGTAGAAAAATTGTTAGAAATAAAGAAAAGAATACTGAACAGTTAAATAATATCATTCCTCCTAGATGAATGTTGGACAATCTCCTCACTGATTCCTGTAAACAACAGAAATATGGTTCTATAGAAGGATGCTGAGAATACCATGGACAGAACTTGGCGAGATAGATGGCTGAGCAATTTTGGGAGAGACAAGAAAAGACAATATTTATAAAGAGCTACAAAGGACAGGAAATTGTGGAGAGCCCTGATCTCCAAAACCGTGAAGGGAGACGTTACATATGAGAAGAAATATGAGCTTGACGAAATGGATGGCGGTACAAATTTCAGGAGATTTAACAAAAGACACAATTTATAAAGAGCCACACAGGACAGGAAATTGTGAAAAGCCTAGATCGTCAACCATCTGAAGTCACATAGTACATACGAGAAGAATACATATCGCCACAAATAGATATGCATATGCAACTTACCGTTCTCACGTGCCCATAAATCATAGCTAATTAAAATTTTATCAGTTTTTTGAATTTACTGTTTGAATAATGCCAAAGAAAATGCCTAGGTGCTTTGCATTTAATTGTGTATTGCTCGGGGTATATCGTTAGCCACGATTCGGAATGCGGATTTTCAAACTCTGGAATCTCTTTCCACAATACTTTGCTGGACTAAACCACGTTTATAAATATTTATAGCTTTCTTTGTTGAGGTAAATAAATATTTATTTTTGCATGGATATGCGTCTATTCACGATGAAGTCTGATAAAGCCTTGATGTCATGATCGTTCGTTGATCAGCTGTTTCTTCGTTTTTAAAGCTCTTGCATCTTGAATCGAATAAAACTTCCCACAAACGAGATGTAGAAACATTTTCTTTTTTTTATAAACTGCTTAGGAGTTGTCTTTATTGAAAGTAAATTTTAAAAGACATCATATAAGCAAAATACAAAATTTCATGGTTAAATATATAAATAAAAACATACCTAAATTGTACAAGTTTCCTTTTCTTCATCATGTCTTTTCACTGATAATGAAGCAGCCATGTCTCCATCTCAGTCGTTTTCCAATGTTTTTCGTTTATATTCACCCTCAATATCTCGCATTTAACGCTAGTATATGTATCTACTCCCTTTAACGTTGACCTGTTTTTTCTACTCTCTCTTTACTCTCATTCACTCCCTGTGTATTCTACGTCTATTCTCTCTCTAGCTCTAAACTATCTTCATAAATTATTTATTTTTCCATGATTGTCTTCTGCTCGGATTTTCGCGGTTTTTTTTTAAATATATTTTCTCATATTTCCTATTTCCTCTCTTTTTTTTTACATTTCTCCGGTATTTTCTTTCTTCTCACATATTTATATTTGTCTTTCTCTTCACTTGATTTACATTGCTTTGTTATTTTCATTCTCATCTCTCTCTTTAAGTTGCCCTCAAATATAAATCTCTCTTTATTTACAATTGTCTCAAATATCATTTCTCCTGTTTTTCTTTATTTTATTTTTATCTCATGTTTTCTTTCCCATTTTATTCTTTACATGTCGCTCATGTATTCTTAATCCCTTCATTTTATATTTCACTCATATCTCTTCCTCTCTCTTTCGCTTAATTTCTCTTATGTTTTCTTTCTCCTCATATTCTTTACATTTCTCTCGTGTTTCTTTACATTTCTCTCTTCTCTTTCTTTATATTTCTTTATATTTCCTCCTCTCTTTCTTTACATTTCTCTCTTCTCTTTCTTTATATTTCTTTATATTTCCTCCTCTCTTTCTTTACATTTCTCTCTTCTCTTTCTTTATATTTCTTTATATTTCCTCCTCTCTTTCTTTACATTTCTCTCTTCTCTTTCTTTATATTTCTTTATATTTCCTCCTCTCTTTCTTTACATTTCTCTCTTCTCTTTCTTTATATTTCTTTATATTTCCTCCTCTCTTTCTTTACATTTCTCTCTTCTCTTTTTTTTATTTCTTTATATTTCCTCCTCTCTTTCTTTTTACATTTTCTCTTCTCTTTCTTTATATTTCTTTATATTTCCTCCTCTCTTTTTTACATTTTCTCTCTTCTCTTTCTTTTATATTTCTTTATATTTCCTCCTCTCTTTCTTTTACATTTTCTCTTCTCTTTCTTTATATTTCTTTATATTTCCTCCTCTCTTTCTTTACATTTCTCTCTTCTCTTTCTTTATATTTCTTTATATTTCCTCCTCTCTTTCTTTACATTTCTTTATCTTGCTTCTTCTCTTCCGTTACACTTCTCTCGTTTATTTTCTCATGATTTCCTTTACATATTTCAGCTTTTCATTCGCATCTCTTTCGTTATATGACTTATTTTTCTTTCTCTTCAATTTATTCCAATCCTTCCATGTTTCTGTCTACTCTCTCTATATATACATTTCTCTCATATTTTCTTTCTACTCCCTGTCTTTACATTTCTCTCATATATACAATGCCACCGCCTCTTTACATTTCTCTCATATTTTTTCTACTACCTGTGTTTACATTTCTCTCATATATTCATTGCCCCCTCCTCTATATATTTCTCATATTTTCTCTCTGCTCACTTTCTTTACTTTTCTGTCATATGAGTTTTCCTCTATATATTTACATTTCTCTCATGTTTTATTTTTTTCTTTCTTTATATTTCTCTCGTATTTTCTTTCTCCATTCTTTATTTATATTTATCTCATGTTTTCATTCTCCCCTTTTTTATATTTCATTCATATGGCATTTCACATCTCTTTATTTCCATTTCTCTCATATATTCTTTCTCTTCCACTTCTTTATATTTCTCACATGTTTTCTTTCTCTTCCACTTCTTTATAATTCTTTCATGATTTCTTTCTCATCCGCTTTTTTATATTTCTCTAATATTTTCTTTCTTTTCACTTCCTTCTCATGTTTTCTTTCTCTTCCTCTCTTTTTATATTTCTCTCATATTTTCTTTCATTACCACTCCTTCTCATATTTTCTTTCCCTTCTCCTTCTTTGCATTTCTCTGGTATTTTCTTTATTTTCTCCTCCTTCTCATATTTTCTTTCCCTTCTCATTCTTTGCATTTCTCTGGTATTTTCTTTATTTTCTCCTCCTTCTCATATTTTCTTTCCTTTCTCCTTCTTTGCATTTCTCTGGTATTTTCTTTATTTTCTCCTCCTTCTCATATTTTCTTTCCCTTCTCCTTCTTTGCATTTCTCTGGTATTTTCTTTATTTTCTCCTCCTTCTCATATTTTCTTTCTCTTCCCCTTCTTTACGATTCCCTCATATTTTCTTTCTCTTCCTCTTCTTTACATTTCTTTTATATTTTCTTTCTCCTCTCTTTCGTTCAATTTTACTCATATGTCTATTCACATCTTTTTAAAATTTTTCCCATGATTCTATCTACTGTCTTTCTGCATGTTTCTCTCATATTTTCTTTCTTTTCCCTCCTTCTCATATTTTCTTTATCTTCCCCTTTTTACATTTCTCTCATATTTTCTTTCTACTCACTGTCTTTCAATTTTACACGTATGTCTATTCACCTCCCATTATTTACATTTTTCCCATGTTTCTATCTACTGTCTTTCTGTATATTTCTCTCATATTTTCTTTCTTTTCCCCTCTCTCTCGTATTTTCTTTCTTTTCCACTCCTTTACATTTCTCTCATATTTTCTTTCTTTCCCCCTCCCTCTCGTATTTTCTTTCTTTTCCCCTTTTTTACATTTCTCTCATATTTTCTTTCTTTTCCCCTCCCTCTCATATTTTCTTTCTATTCCCCTTCTTTACATTTCTCTCATATTTTCTTTCTTTCCCCCTCCCTCTCATATTTTCTTTCTTTTCCCCTTCTTTACATTTCTCTCATATTTTCTTTCTTTTCCCCTCCCTCTCGTATTTTCTTACTATTCCACTTCTTTGCATCTCTCTCCTATTTTCTTTCTTTCAACCTCCCTCTCGTATTTTCTTTCTTTTCCCCTTCTTTACATTTCTCTCATATTTTCTTTCTTTTCCCCTCCCTCTCGTATTTTCTTTTCTCTTCACCTTCTTTATATTCCTCTCCTTTTTTCTTTCTTTCCCCCTCCCTCTCATATTTTCTTTCTTTTCCCTTCTTTACATTTTCTCTCATATTTTCTTTCTTTTCCCCTCCCTCTCGTATTTTCTTTTCTCTTCACCTTCTTCATATTCCTCTCCTTTTTTCTTTCTTTTCCCCTCCCTCTCGTATTTTCTTACTATTCCACTTCTTTGCATCTCTCTCCTATTTTCTTTCTTTCAACCTCCCTCTCGTATTTTCTTTCTTTTCCCCCTTTTACATTTCTCTTATTTTCTTTCTTTTCCCCTCCTCTCGTATTTTCTTTTCTTCACCTTCTTTATATTTTCCTTTTTCTTTTTTCCCCTCCCTCTCGTATTTTCTTTCTCTTCCCCTTCTTTACATTTCTCTCATATTTTCTTTCTCCTCTCTTTCTTTCAATTTCACTTGTATGTCTATTCACCTCCCTTTATTTATATTTATCCCATGTTTCTCTCTACTGTCTTTCTGTATATTTCTCTGATATTTTCTTTCTCTTCTTTTTCTTAACATTTCTCTCCTGTTTCCATTCCCCCCTTTTTCTTTGTCTCATATTTTCTTTCTCCTCCGTTTATTTACATCTCTCTCTTCTCTTATCTCTCTTCATTTTGTTTACTTTTCTCGCATAATTTCTTTCCCGTCTCCATTTTTACATTTCTCTCAAGTTTTCTCTCTCCTCTGTTTGTCTTCTCTTCAGATTTTCTCATGTGGTTGCTTAAATCTTTCTCATTTTTTCTCATCTCTCTCTTTACATGTCACTCTCATATTCTCTTTCAATCCATTTTTACATTTTGCTCACATTTTTTTCTCATTTATTTTCTTCCTTTTCTCTCATATTTTATTTTTTTCTTCCAGTTTACATTTCTCTCATATTTTGTTCCTCTACTATTTATGTACAAAAATAACGGAGAAAGATTTCTTTACTGTTTTATTTCCCCTCTCTATCGCTAGATTTCTCTATTTCTTTTCTCCTCTCTTTCTTTACATTTCTCTCGTATATTCTTTCCTCTCTCTTTCTTTAACGTCTCTCATATTTTGCTTCTCTTTTTTTCTTTACATTTCTATCGTCTTTTCTTTTTATTCATTTAATTTACATTTCTCTCTTGTTTTCTTTATCCTGTCAGTCTTTACATTTCTCTCATGTTTACTTTCTCCTCTCTTTCGTTACCTTTCTCTCACAATTTATGGCTCTTCTCTTTCTATACATTTCCCTCAGGTTTCTAAATTTTCTCTTGCTCTCGATTTATCTCACGTTTTCCACCCTCTCTCTTTCTTTACATTTCTTTCATATTTTCTTTTATCTTAATTTCTGTACATTTCTCAGAATATCATATATATATTCTCAGAATATCTCACATATTTACTTTAATCTCTCTTTTCTTTTCTCTCTGTTTTCTTTACATTTCTTTTATCTTTTCTTTCCCCTCTTTTTCTTTATCTTCCTCTTATTTTTTCCCCCTATCATATTTGTTATTTCTCCTTTTTCATCGTCTTCTCTCTTCCCAGTTTATCTTTATTTTTCTCTTCGTCTTCTCCCCCTATCTTCTATCTCTTTCACTTTCCTTCGTTTCAATATTTTTTTCTCTGAACCACATAACTATTTTATTTCCCTCCCCTCACCCCAATGTCTTTATTCTATCCTCTTCTAGTCGTCGCTCTAACTTCATAATTGTTCGTAGACCCATTATAACAGCGTTACGAATACAAAACAATGAAAAGAAAATCTCTAAAGGAAAATCCTAGCTAGACCAAGAATCTGAATCTGATCCTATGGCAACGGGCCAAGTGCGAAATAAAACAATTTCAAGGTCTTTCCAAGCGTGAGTCAATCAATTATCGAATCAGTCTTTGTTCCACCCAAGTGACAATTTATATGTTTTCAAGAAATTCGCTGGTGTGCCATTCTCTTTAAAATCAACATTTGTTTATTATTATTTAGCAGGACGAAAGACAATTATTCTTTGCCACGAAAAACTTGCGTAGACTAGATCGGATATCCTTTACTTTGGAAGAGAAGAATTTAATGCAGTTCTTCACCATTAGCAATGAATTTCCTACATTATTCTCGTCATGGCTTTTATAATATTAATGTTTCAACGATTCAGATTGCTGTCACTCCAATGTAGAGAATATCTCTTGTCTTACCACTATTTTTCGTTAGTGGCCCTTCACTATTTCTTGAACGGAACCGGTGAATGTACATTGTTTTAGTAATATACAATCCAGAGATTAAACTCGACTGCAAGAAACAATATTTGTTTAAATCTATGCTTTGACTAATTATCTAGGCTATAATGCCCAGAAAATAACTAGCTGCTAGGTGCCCCCTTGAATAGACATTTCTAATTCTCGTTATCGCGGCAGAGCTGAACACCCAACTAAAGGCAGTAATTGTCCTGGATTTCCATTTGTTTGAACTAGTACACCCAGAGCGATGATATAGTTCTATTAATTCTACGACGGAGCACTTGAGCGACAACTTTATAATTAACGCTGCCGCATGTTGACAATTTTCAACATTTTAAAGGTTAGTTTTTCTTTGGATTCTATCTGTGCGTCTTTTTTTTATTTGAGTGTGTTTGACTGTTGTCAAATTTCATAGTGCATTGTCCAGCGACAATATGAATAAGGACATGTGTACCGCTGCTAATGAATTACCTATAGATTAGTTGTAATGTTTCACCATTGGAAAAGACTTCCGCCACAGGATTTTTAACTCTTCCCCGACTTAAAAGTGTGAATTCAACACTACCAGCCATGAAATGGCAAGATAATTCTTTTTTTGGTCTTACAAAAATCAAATATGACAGAAGTGTCAGGTCGTTCCAGAATCGGCATATACATTTGTTCGCAGTTTTTGATGATAAATGTGAAATTTGGAATTACGGTGAACGACGGCCACAGGAAATTCTGTTGCACACATTGAGGAATGAGTTCCAAGTCTGACAGTCAGATTTGGCTAATCCTGGATGAAACTCTTAATATCGGAAAGTATCCATTTGGAAATGATACAATGTATTTTCAATGCTATTAAACTGTGGTTTAATCAACAACAGATTAGACAAATCGCAGACAGCTCTGGAGTATCAAGAAACTGTGCAATGAAATGAGATATCAACGGATTCACGATGGACAAGTCAATCACCGGACTATAACCCAATATAACATGAATTTCATTTCTTGAAGAGGGAACTAATGGGGGAACTCCACCTACCGAAGAAATAAGAACTGAATGAGGCTGCGTTAAATGCCTGGAAAGTCATTAAAAAATGAAGAATTGTGATGTCAAACGGTCGAAGGGTTAACACAGTGATTGCAAGCAAGGATTATGAAGTTAAATTTTAAATGTTGCTCATATTGAGACTATCAGTTACTTTGACTTTTCTTACCTAAAAATGGGGTAATCTGATATTAAAGGTGACATGTCCTAATCTGTTTAACACATCTAAGTTTAAATGTCAGGAAATAAAAGCTGATATTCTAAACACTTGCCTCATATTCATATTTTGATCTTAAACGCAAATGTCTTCAGTGAAATACAAAAGGAATTTGTCTTGCCGTTCCAATATTTTTCGAGGCGACTGTGTATATATATATATATATATATATATATATATATATATATATATATATATATATATAGTTTATGCAAATTTAGGTAATCCGTATGGGTAGACCTGAGGAGGATGAGATCCAGAGAGCTCAATGTAAAATTCAGAGCAGATATGTTTGAATAAAAGACAGACCACGTTAAGATTCCATGTAATAAGCTATTTCATCATAACCCCTTTAACAGGGTTCTGGATCATCAGACTTTACTTCCAAAAGCTGAAATGAAAAATGAAAAGAAATTCACACGTTTTTTACGGACCTCATCAAGTATACGTAAAGTTAACGAAGTGAGGAAGTGAGCTAATATATATATATATTAGATGTTTCGACATTTTTATTTTGGAAGGTACCAGGTGTCTTGGGCTTGTAACCATAGCTACTATTGCATGTAAAAGAATAAACTGTACTCTTCGGAAATACCTTGTTAGGGAAATTATTTTTAATGTAAGCAAATATAATCTAAAATTTAAAAGACTTAAATTTATTTTTACTGTAAAAAATTATTCTTATTGTCTTCTATTTTTTTTAATATAAAGAACGGATAAAATTAATGGAAGCATTAATCATAAAAAGGAAAGGCAACGCACCATAATATCAATAATGAACATAGCCACAATGTCCTGACCATGTTTTTAAAATAAATGAAAAAATCGCACATCAAAATCTTTACACATATATAAAAATTTACATCTAGCTTAACAAAACATCCTTGATAATGGCAAATATAATCGACGAAAGCTTTCAGATATATAGAAAATGATTCTTGCACTGTGAAAGAAGTTTATACAAAACTTTCTGTATAAAATAAATCAGATTTAGTAAAATGCTTATATTTACAGAGAATGATTAAAATATTAACATTGTTTTACTTACATGTAGGTTTTCAGGAAACAATTTCTGTAAGACCACATTGAAGTAAAACAATTTTTCATTTTAATCCTTCCCTGTAAACATAGATGTATTAAAAATATTACATATAAATAAATAAAAACATTACGTATTTTTCCAAATCTAATTCTCTTTCTACTTCTTTTCTATCTCTCACTCGCTCTCGTTCTTTTCTCCCTCTCTCTCTATATATATATATTTATTTATTTATTTTATATATATATATATATATATATATATATATATATATATATGAAGAAATATAGTCTTAAGGTGTATTTATATTTATGGGATAAAGAGGCGTGTGTAAATATGATATCATATATATATATATATATATATATATATATATATAATATATAATGTGAACATATAAAGTCAACATACTTAGAGGCGACAGTCTGTTTCATGCTATATGCAATTGTCGGGCCACTGTTTCTGCCAAAATAATAGTTAGAATAAAACTACAATAACCAACCCCCAAACGGAACAAATAGCTTTAATTAAATTCTCAAATCAAAACAAAACTATTAAATAAGTGATATAAACAAATTTTTACTACGTTAATAAAAATCACCGATTAAAAAATAAGTAAATAAATAAATAAATAAAATAAGAAACAAAAAATAAAATTAAATAAAAACAAGCAAAATAATTTAACCCAAATAAATAAATAAACGACTTCCGGTAAAATAACCGCCATAAAAGACTACCAACAATGCACCACTGGCCCGTATATGTATAAATAGCCGAGAAAAATAACAGCACACGTGGCCTGACGATTGCATATAGCATGAAACAGACTGTCGCCTCTAAGTGTTGACTTCTATGTTCACTTTTATATATATATATATATATATATATATATATATGTGTGTGTATATACATATATATGTATAATTGTGTATTTAGGCAGCAATCCTTCATTTATAGATATTCATTAAAGACAAGATAGGTACTACGGTTAAACATTTACTTAATTTAATATGCCTTCTTTTGGGAAACAGAATGTGTAGAAAATCTCTGAATGTTCTATAATTCAAAGCACGATCGGCTCTACTTTTAGCCATTATGAAAGTTGATTTTATTTTCCTTTTTAATTGGGTGTATGGATTGTGCGTATATTTCAAGAGTTATAGGATGTTTCATTTTCCCAGTTTGCCCATTGTGTCCGTTGTTAATATTATTGAGTGTTTTTTTATTATTATTAAGTCTTTCATTATTTTTTTATTTTTTAACAAGTCCATGAGATTATTATATTTTATTCTAGTATATTTCGTTTGGAGTCTGGTAAGTTTCTCTGTTAAGTTTAAATGAATTCTAATAGAGCTGTTGTTAGATAGGTTTAACGTCAGGCGTCTGGATATGCATGTAGTTGTGAAACCGATGTAATTATTTATGAATTAGGCTAGATCAGAAACACATTTCCTTAAGAATATGAACTCATAGATAATATTTGTTTGTTGTAATTTTGATTTTGTTGGTGTGTTGTAATTTTTGAGGATAAATTTATCTGTTTTAAATTTTTGTGTAGTAGATAATGGTTATATGGGGTTACGTATATGTGTGGAAGTGAATAAACGCAGATAGATACCGGTATATAAAAACTCACTGAATCAATGGATATATCTACATATATGTTTATGAAAAAATCTGCGACATAAAGTAAATCATAATCGAATAAAATTTTTACACACCAAAAATAAGGAGAAAATATTAAATGATTTTTTTTTCGGTGAAGCAATGGAAACTAAACAATGTAACTCTTGAAAGATTTTCTTCTTAAAGTCATCATTACACTTTGATCCATTTTTTTTTTTTTGACAACAGTTATTAGGCTAACCATAGCTTTTACGATTCTCCTCTTATACACAATTATGTGTTACTGATTTTAATAATTCGTTTTAACTTCAGATTCCTTTCATTTATTGATCTTACTAACAAAGCAGAAAGAAAATATCAGTCATGGTTAAAACGATGTGGAACACCGCAATTGCGTAAAAACCAGAGTTCTCATGTCGCCCTTGTAATTACGAAAACCGTCTCGTCGTCATGGCGAATATCATTTCTGTTCAAATACTTTGGATATATACGTGACTAGGCCATCATTTAGTAAGCTATTCTTGAAGACTCAGGAAAAGTTATTTGA